GTGTAGCGAAACATGTATATTTCTTTCCGAAATTCATGAGCATGCGAGCCCTTCCTGGACCTACAGAATATAATCTCTGGATTGACATTGTAATTTAATACGTTTTTCTGTGATATGCGATGCCTGTGGCATTTCGAATTTTCAGGTTTTGAGGGTTTACCACCTGGCGTTGTTTTTAATGCCGATTAAATAATAATAGTTAGAATATAGCTAGTATCGTTGAATCAACCAATATTTTTTATCGATGATTTACAGCCATCAGCGATTGTTCCATGCTCTGTATTTAGTCGGTCACTCGGGTGCTCAACGACAACTAAGGCCTTGATATGTTAGCTTTCACGTGACCAGCATAGTTCAATAGCTTGTAATGGTTACAGGCAGGTTGACAGAACATTTCAGTTTGTGCCATGAGCAAATTTTTTGCTCGAAGCAGAAATTCCTTGCTTGTGCCACGACCATGTGTAGTATATGAGTAAACATTGTAATGAGTGCCATGTTCTTCAGGTATTCAAATACCATAGCCTGTTTAAGCGGCTTCTCGGGCGAGTGAAACACAGAGCACAGAAAGTTTGTTTCATAACTCGGTGTAATGACTTGTGTGTGTCATTCTCTGCGCAGTGTTGGTATAAATCGACCATAATTGGTTTTAAATTGTTTTGCTATGGATTTATACAACTATCTATGTTTGTAGAATGCACTATAATTAATCATATGTAGGTCGGGTGTTCAACTGTCATTTGGCGTTGTTATATCGCTGTCCTGTAAGGGTAGCACGGCTTGCGTAACGGGGTAGCTATGATTGGCGTTGCCTGTCGATAATGAGGTTTGTTCAAGTCTTTTAGCGCAGTTGTGTTCATTGTTTGGTTGCCCCATAAATTGCCGTCATTCGTATGTCAAGTTTGGTTTTGACATGCAGATGTGCACGCGTGCGAATACGTTTCTTGCGGTTCGGAATGGTGCGGATTCTTTGCATTCCGTATCCATTGATCATCAGCATCTGATTTTCGTCAGCTTGCGTTTGGGAGATGCGGTGTGTTTGAAGTTTCTAGTCCATGCACAGAAGCAGACGTCGTTCAGCGATGCTGCGGTCCGTGGACCAAGCGTTCTCCTTTGGTGGCGAGTGTGGACATCGGTTGAATGTGTGGTCACTTTCTACCGGGGTTGTGGTGAGAGCTGTTTTGTTT